TGGAGATCTGGAGGAACTATCGATGAATGCCGAGAATGCGCCTGGAATTTCGTATGTTCATAAATTTATATCTGCTGAAAATGATATTACCGATATTGAAGGTATATTTCATGAACATATATTCATAAAATATCCCCAATAAGGGTAATATCTCTTTCATCAGTTTTGCAGAGAAAAAGGTTCAGAATAATAAACTCCAACCCTAATTATGAAGCACCAAATTTATTTAGTTTCAAAAAATATTCATATGCTGTTGACAATAGCATAAAAATTGTATTACATGAAAATATAGATGGATTTTTGACAAATTCATGTTGAGTGTTGCAAAACACAAGTACCGCTTCTTGATACCTAATTCCGAAACAATACAGAAAAATGTAATGCATACTTCCTTGTAAATAAGCTAGTCTCTTTTAATTAGTTTGCTCAGTTCTATGCCTTTAATTTGTTGGCCTTTCATAATTTACATAACGGTGCCAACTACAAGGATTATAAGGAGGCTAAATCCAGACATGCAATTTTAAATAATCTACCAAATACATCATGCCAATGTGTTAAGTTCACAGCCTACCTGTAGCACTTTATGACTTGACAGAGTCTCCTGAACTTCTGCATCTCCCACAATAGTCACAATACATCTCACGTATACCATCACAGCTACTGATGGTGTTGCATTATATTTTATGCTCATCTTTTACGAAATATCTCCAAGAGTATCAGCGTTGATAATCTAGATATTAACCAAAACAAACGCCATATTTGATATTTTTACATTCAGACGAAGATAGATAATCCTGATAGGGTTGCCAGGTTTTCAGTCACGTTGGTCGCCGGGTTTTGATAAGCAAATCGCCAGAAATATTCAATCCGTAAAGTGAAAATTAACTAGGAGTCTAAACTCCAGGTTAGAGATTGGAATGGATTTGTCGCCCGGGAGGTGGAGTAGGAACTGGCTTAAGCTCCTAACTAGCCTACCTGCTGACGATAACTGAAAAGCGAAATTGAGGCGAGTTAGCCACAATAATACTCCAAGAATCCATTGAAAATCGGAGGGTGAGGATGGGGGATTGTTAGACACGTGTAGTATTTACGAAACTTTAAGTTCGTTCACAGGGGGCGGATCCAGAGGGACACTGTGAGGTGGCGGGACTTCTAGCGAATATTCTTGTGATATTGTGACAATGGGAAAACGTGGAAGAAGGTTACCGACTAATGAAAATTGAAGAGCGGGAAGACAATAATTTTCTTCGTATTTACCTTTCCCCAGTGATCTTTTTTTGTGGCGGGGGGTGGTTCTCTCTCTCTTCTCCTGGTTATCGTACAAAAATTGTAATAATCGTACATCAAGTAACAATGTGTCAGAAGTGTTAGGATGGGATGTCGTTGATATGCTCGGAACATGACACTTTGACATGACATTTGACCATAAGCGTCATTGTGCGTAGAGAACAGAACTTCCGCTGGTCCACGTTTCATGTTCCATTAATCTCCACCGAAAACCAAATTTGTCTAACGGCTTAAGTTCAATGTGTTCGAGAGAGAAGGGTCTGTAGACACATGCTAGAAAGAGGCAGAAGCCGGCTGTATAGCGAAGTTCATCACCGCATTGCCTATAAAAGCTGACGCGGCAATCTGCCTCGTTATGTTACACCACTTCCTTCAATTAAGTTGCATGTTGAAAACATGCGTTAGTTTACTCTCTACGCCCAAATACTGGTTTTATTTTGAGCGTACATATCTTTTAATTGTGAATTGTGTCGAACCTATTTAGGATCAATTCCGGATCGGCCCTAATGGCGCTGCATTTTAGGTCGGAATGAAAGGTCAGGATCGTCATGAATCCTGCGATATTGCATCAATGGTTCGTTTGATAACACCGGATCTTGTACATTCCAGGGCAAGGTTTCCACCTCCATGATGATAGACGAGCGATTTTGGTCAGTTCCTATCTAGCGCACATTGTAGAGTATCGCCCTGCTTCAAATAGGCCTTCTTCTTGGGTTTGACAGTAACCTTACCTATTATAGAAGCCTGTGCGAACATTTTCTGGCTTAAAATTTTGGCAACGCGGAAGCTTGCACGAGGTTCTGCATCACCGTTGCTAGACAATGTGGTGATGACCCTCGCTCTTCAGCCGGCTTCTATCTCTTTCTAGCATGTGTCGATACACACTTCTCGCGCTTCTCTCTCGTACACATTGAACTCAAGCCGTCAGACAAATTTGGTATTCTTTGTATACACATATTAGCAAAATAGTTGATTACAAATCAATTGGCGTCAGAAATGTTAAAAATCGCCAGATATCGCCAGTTTGCTGGATAGTGGACACCATCAAAGTAGCCAATCGCCAAGATATTCATTTGAAGCCGCTTTGGCGAAAAACCGCCACGCCTGGCAACCCTGATTCCCGGCAGGCAGCACGTGACGTGATGCCGGGAATACAGTTACCTCGATTTTGCCTGGAGAGTATGACCTTGGTGTTGACAGTTCGCCCATAATGGTTGATTCTCACTATACATTCCATTTCCATTCCATATCAGTTTCGTAAACGTTCAGTACAATTTGATAAGCACGGATAATCCGAACATTTATTTCATACCTACCATAAAAAGATAACAGAAACAAAAAATCCCATAAGTTCAAACTAACTTTTATATTGTATAAATACAAAAAAAACAGATTTCTACATAAATATTCTTTTACACTAAATACATACATAATAAAAATAAAAAAATCAATATTATGTTTTAGAATAAAAGTTAGTCACTTTGGTCTGTGTCAAAAGTCTTCGATTATTTTTAATCATCTGACGTATTTTGCGCAAGTTCAAAATGTCTACAAGGTTCGAAGATTCTTGTTGCTCCAAATAGTCTAGTAGAACGTTGGCAGCTTCCTCAGCCTCCTGGTTAGTTACTCTTTTGATTGATACCGTTCCATCATTCTCTTTTTCTTGACTCTCATTTTCGGATGAATCAGATTGTGACGTCCCGGGCTGATTCAAAACTTGTTCGACAATATCATCGTTGCTGAGGATCTGATAACCTGGCTCATGTTTGTCACACTGTGTCCACCTCTCAACCTCGGTGTCATCAATGTCTTTAAATTCATCCGAGTCTTTTGAAAGTAATTTCTTTCACTCCACTCCATGCGTTTGTCACTGTAAAAATTGCGTCTTTGATCGTGAACGATTTTCAAAACTTCATCAGATCAACTTCATCCAACAAGTTCATCATAAGTTCTCTTCGGTAGAGCCGTGTCATTGTCTCAATAACACCTTGATCCATTGATTGAGCGATTGATGTAACATTGGGTGGAAAAAAAAGAACAAAGAAGTTACCATCATCAGACCTTAGAGCTGCCTCATTGGGATGAGAACGAGCATTGTCGAGAAGAAGAAGCGCCTTTTGTGGCAATTTTTCTTTACTTCAGGAATAAACTTTTTATGGAACCAATCTTGAAAGATGTAACAAGCTATCCAGGCAGCTTGCTGGTTATAATAATGAACTGGGAGATTATCCGGTTTCATGTTTTTTCATGATTTTTCGACTTTCCAATCACAGTCAGCTTTAGTTTATGGGTGCCAGACGCATTGGCACAATACAACACTGTTAACCGATCTTTACTTTTCTTATATCCCGGTGCCCGGTGCACTCATCTCATTACTTGCAGCCAAGGTTTTTGTAGGTATTTCTCGCCAGTATAGCCCTGTTTCGTCAGCGTTATAAATTTAAGAAGGTTGTAGATTATTTTCTTTAATTATGGTCTCCAGTTCATAGCAAAATTCCACCATCGCTTCTCCGTCGGCACTAAGCTTTTCGCCTTGAATGGTAAGCTCTCGAATTCCGTGACGTTTTTTAAATCGATGCAGCCAACCACTGGATGCATTGAAAGGTTCTTGGATTTTCAAGCGTTCGTGAAAAATCTCCGCTTGCTTAGCGCACATTGGACCAGAGATTGGTACGCCCTCCGATCTTTTCTGCAGAAACCACTTGGAAAGTGCTTCATCGAGTTGTTGAAAAGTCGATCCTTCCAATGATTTCCGTGCAGATATGTTCTTAAAAGAGTCAGACTGAGATATAAAATTTCGTAGTTTCACTTGGTTTTTAGTGATATCGCGTATTGTTTGCTTGCCAACATCATAGGTTCGTGATAATGACGCGACACTGTCACCCTTTTCACTTTTTCTTAAAATTTCTAGTTTCTGTTCAATCGTTAAAACATTTCTCTTACGTTTAACACTCGTTGCCATTTTAAAAACAAAGTCACGTGTTAAGAATATATTACAGCAGAGTAACAACTTGTCTCGACTCTCGTCTCTAGCGCGTAACTAAACTAAATTTCACACATTCGTTGTAACACGCAGCGGCAAATGAACATCGAATGGGAAGATGTTTACTTAGGTAACGAGACAGTGCTTTGTCAAAGGCATACGTAGGGTTATTAATCGCCGATAATATACGTAATGGATGCACGTGTTGTCTATTCTGGTACATATTTATATATTTAAAGCAGTCATCAACCTCGAAGGCACCTTTTTCATTCCAACTTTCGATCAATCTTTTCATACCTTTTTTCAATGCAGGTAAAGGACTTTTATTGAGCAATTTATAATATTTATTATCACCTAGTGCGATTTCCATATTCTGGATGTACGCGTCTTTGTTAATAATCACCTCAAAAATGCAATTTGAATAATGGGAAATCATGGCACGGATAAGCGGCAGTCCGGATAATCCGCGCACGGATAATCGAGGTTCTACTGTATTTAACTTCAATAATTTACGGAATGGAAACTGAATGTATAGTGAGAATCAACCTTAAGACGTTTCAGAGACGTTTGAAGCATCGTGTGGGACCGCATTAGGTGGCATTAAGTTTTTTTAGCTATTTAACTATTTAACCAACTTATAATTACTGACACCAGAAGTCGGTATATATAAAAATAGTTCTAATATTCATCGAGAGATGTCAATCACATTTCTTACAGTTTTCCTCAAAATCAGCTTCCCGATAGAGGACACTAGTGACACTACGGAATAAAAAAATTGTCAGATGTTGAAAATTGTTAAATCTAGCAGTTTGTTTCTGAACAGCGATATGCAGAATATATCATTTCAAAAAATTAATTGTCAGCATATTCAATTAAAGCCATTTCTTATCATTTTTCTACTTAGAACCGTTGGGGGGAACTTCAACTTGTCAAACTTGTCATTTCTTCAAATGTTTGTAAAAGTATAAAGTAGTACTGTTAAACTGTTATCCAGTGTATATGTTTTGTGTGTTATTCCTTGATAGTAATAATTTAATAGGTTCATAGGTTTATGTTAATTTCTTCCAATTATGAAACAATTTTAGGCCTACTTAATATGGAAACTTGATGGTATACAATTTGAAAGCTTGATCCAAGACATCAGTTTTTCGAAAAAATGGAATCCAGAATCAGTACCAATCGAACCACTTCAGGTTCAGGCAATTCGTCTATGGTACTTTCGAAAAACTTGCCAATGAAGACAATAATTGAAGCTATTAATGAATACCTTAAGTCGAGAACAGATAATTCCACAAGTCTAATCAAAAAGTTTTTACAGGTATGTGCTTTTTTCAATATTCAAATATTGACTATTTTTTTATTAGGTTGCTCTAAGAATGGTCATATAAAACTTAAAAGGTAAAAATCTCTATGATGTTTGCCAGATGCCTGTCAAGCCTTTGCTCAACATTTAAATTTTGTTACATTCTATATATCACAACAAATCAGATTTTCAGATACTTTCTGCATCATTTTACATTTTTTTAGGCATATAGTGTCACAATAGATGTAAACATTTTTGACCCAGACAAAGAATATGTTGCTCAATTTTATGTTAGTCTATATGAGCTGCTATCAAAGCTTGAGAGTCACTCACAGATGATTTGGGATTGTGTTGATGTGCTAAGCAATGCAATTCGCAATTGTGCTGCTAGAGAAGCTTTGATCAACACATATCAGTTCGGACCTCTTTTGGCCAGGTTTTTGGGAGATGAGTTGACAACAATGAAAAAGAAGACACTGTTGAAACTTATGCAGGTACATTTCAAATACAAAATTTTCCAAAACATACAACAAAATAAGTATCATAACATCAATCAATATTATTTAGAACTCAATATTGCTAGGTTTACAGCATTTTATTCATATAGAAAATCAATTCAACTAGATTATATCTAAGAATATATTTTAGCAGTCCTTTTAAAATCATAAATATTAATAATGATAAATATTATATTTTCTCTTCATTTAAAAGCTATGAATCCACACTATTGCCATTTTAAATACTATATAATTGGATTATTTAAAACAATTAGTTTTATGCATTTTTTGTTTTTCTATATTTATACAGTTCATGTAATAATTTTTCATTTCTGTAACTTGTTTTGTATTTTTTCTCAGGAGCTGACATGTGGTATTAAGTTAACATGGCAAATACCTAATTTGCAGTATTTAATAACTACATTAACAAAATGGATTGAGGATAAAGAACAGGATCAGGAAATAGTATGCTTATCATTAGGTGTCCTTGTAAATCTATGCTATAAAAACTTACCAGCAATCTACACATTTTCAAGAAGTGTAGATAGTAAAAAGTTTCTTAGGTTCTGTTTGCCATTAAAGGTTTGTATAGTCCTCTTCCGTTTAGTCACAATGTATCTCTATTACTTTGTAAATAATCTTATAATTGATCAGATCTCAACAGCATGTATTTAGTTCTTTTTTTTCTACTTTTCAAAGTGTCATAGTATATTTTGATATCTATTGTATAGTATTTTTGGAGGAAAAATCATTCTATGGAAGCTGCATGGGTGTGAAATGTTTCAAAACATATTTAAGCCATTTTTTTTAATTCAGGGTCCACTGGTAGAAGTCTATGTCTGTAAACTAATGATAATCATAGACAGCTCACAAAATGAGATCCATAAAAAAACTTTGTTGAAACTGATAGAACCAACATTTATTTCAATAGTTGAGGCGCTAAACAAAAATGATCCTGCCATGTTGAGATTAGTAATAGACTTCTTTATAGATGTGATCAGCAATGACAATATCACAATATTCCAGGAGTATAAAAATTATGTTCAGCAAATTGACAAATTCCTGAAGGTATGTTATTAAAATTCTTATACATTAAGTTCAAAAAATGACACTTAAATAGGGATTAATACTTGAAACCTCTTAGAATATTTATTGTTTTTTTTTTTTTGTTTCTTATGGTAGCTCTATTGAGTAAAAAGAAATAAGCAAATATTTAAACATATGATTATGAAACTAAAATACTGTGACAATTTTTACTTTCCATGCCTACTGGCGGAGAAGTATTGTAATCCCGAAAATTTGCGAAAATGAGATATTAAGTTTGTTGGATCATACTTGACATACCTCACGAAAGTACAAAAACAATAAATAAAAGTCACTCAAACTTCGTTTTTTGATGTTTCTGACGATCCTGATCATTTTCGGAAAAAATTTTGTAAGGGTTAAAAATCGGGGGGTTAGGAGTCGCTGCGGGTGGTGATGCGTTTACTCAATTTTCTGACGTTGGTATATTTATACATCTCCAACCCCACTAATTCTACTCACATATTGGACTTATTTCACTCATCATAGATCTCCCCGTACATTACCCTTATATCTCGTGCAGTCGGGTGTCGATACGTGCAACGTGGTCATCGGTGTTCATACGTCACAGTCGGCAATCGCTTCCGCACTGCTGTGGGCTGTATGTACATTGCATGGTGAAGGTCAATATCGTCAGTCACACGGAATTGACCATCGCAACGATCATGTGTGCCTGCATTAAGGAGGAGGAACGTTATTTAATTTTTTGATACACATGTTTGTAGCTTACTTTTTGCTCAGAAGGGCTAACTTGTGCCATACACAATCCTTTACAAGCTGATGACAGTGTAGCATAAGTAAGTATTTGATGACATATTTCTAGATTATGATTGAGAAAACAAGTAGTTCAGATACAGAAGTTACTCCTCCTAAGGAACATGATCCTGGCTGTATAATGCTCATATTGAAACTTATTTATACAATTATAACAAAAGATGTCGCCGATTTGTCGTCAATCTACAAAAAGATCATTGCATTAGCTTTGAACTGGATAAATCCTGAAGACACCTCCTTCCAAGTAAGTTTTGGCCAATAATACATTTTATTCTTACCAAGGCTTATAGAATAGAAAGTTTGATATTTAGATTGTTACCTTTGTTTTGGATTGCTTTGAGAGTGATCAAATACTGTTTAATATTTACTTAGCTTGGAAAATAGTAAACAGTGAAAACTGTTTATGGAATGATAAAAAATGACTCATCAACTCTGAAACTGATATGTAATTCTGTATAATTGATACCAATTTTTTCTTCATTAACAGGCAATGACATTAATAACGACAATAGCCCAAAGTATTGCAAATTCAGATGAAAATGAACATCATAAAATTCTAAAATTGCTATCAGTGAAACTTCCTCAGTTCATCATAATGTTGGAATCTGAATCACACCCCAGTAGTATGGACTCGTGCAAGAGGCTTGGGATTCTGTTGCAATTGTTGAGGTAAAACTGACTTGAAGTTTATAACTTAGGGACTACTTTCATCATTTTTTAAACGGAAATAATATACTCATTTGATAAACCAGTATGTCCCTGCAATGTTCTCATGTCCTTAGAGAAAACTATTGCCCCTAGCACATAGAAGAAACATCACTGGCGACTCGAGAGGGCAAATGATACGCGGCCGCCGGCTCTTTTTTAACACAGGTGGAGGATGAATACGCTTGGCAACTAATATCAACTTGAGCACTTCATTAGTAGGAGGCATAAAATGCTTTTCACTCTTACAAGATTGGGACCTCGGTTGGCCGCGTGGGTCAGAGTGTCGTGCTACTGATCAGCCGGCCGGCCGGGCCGCGAGTTCGAATCTCGCCTTCGCCATGGATGTTGTGACGTCGTGTGTTTGTCCATAATTAGAGATATACAATACAAGATTGGATCTGGCTAATGGGACGCAATATCCTAGTGCCAAAAAAAAAAAGAAAAAAAAACTTACAAGATTTTCGAGTTATCTTTGAGTATACAGCAACGCAGTAAAAAGCAGATCTTGAAGAAATGAATGCTCTAGAGAATCGTATTTTTTTCTTTTTCTGTATCGTGCTTGATTATTTAGCCACAGAAGTTTGCAAGAATATATAAATTTGAATTCAAAAAGTTTTTTACAGAAGCTTTTGTTATCGAAATCCAATAGTGATTCTCTTCATTAAACACTTCCATATGGCTAAATTTCTTGTTTACCATAACTTCTGCCGTTTTTTGAGACTGACATTTTGCGCTCTATCTCACCGTCCATTGTGAGACGAAGTAGCTCGTATCGTTCACCATTCAGCATACGGCCCAAATATTGCATTTTCTTATTTGGATATTATTTTGCAGCTCTTTTTCTTTACCCATACGCCAGACTACCTCCTCGTTGGTGATCCTTTGTACCCAAAAAATACTTTGTATTTTGTTTTCTGTTTGTGTGTCCGTTACTCAAATTTCGCAATCATAAAGTAGAACAGAAAACGTAATTACGAAATTGCTTACCTATTTATGATTCATTATTAGTTGAAGCATATTATGTTCATTTCTAGAGTGCTGTTGAAGTCTTCTATAACATCCAGTGAAACTCTAGAAGCCCTTGAGGATGACGTTTTAGAGAAGGTACTCCAGCCGATCATAAGCAACGAATTCGAATTGAACGGACTGCCAAAATTGAGGGTAGACGACCACTCGACGAGCTCAACGGAAATTGTGGATACCTATGTCTATGCTGTGTGTCTCATCAACGAGGTGTCGCAGCAGAACTCGAAGTGCTTTGATTTCCTGAATGGATTGATGAGTAACAAGTAGGTATTTAAATAGGTTTTCGCTTAGCCGCTCTTTTATTTTCAGTTGCCAGCAACATAGTGGTGGAGCATTTCAATCCACATCAATGACGTTACCAAAGAAAAGCTCGGCTGCCCCATTACAAAACACAGTAATTGCATGCTTACACCAATGGAGAAAAATCAGTTTTTCTAAAATGTATAAGCCGCAAGAAATTATTAAAGAAAATCGTTCAAAAACTTCATGGTGTGTTAGATAATCTTTATCCATGTTTTTCTATATATAATTGAATTGCACTCTTCACAGATATCAGATTTGGGTTGGCAAAGTGAAATATTCATTTTCTTCAAAACTTGACGGTATACTTCGATTTTGCAAATGGATGGATGTACAACATCATCATACATTTTCTTATATGTCAACTCTCTTGGTAAATACCTAACATTAGAGGCATTCTTTCTCCGATAGTGACTCACTGAAGGCTTTTTTGACTCAATATGTTATTATATCTCGATTGGATTGGTTACGGCAGCCACCTCTACGTTCCTCTACCTGATCTCCACAAGGACCTTTTTTAATTACTGCCACTAAGTCTGTTATTATAGAATCGTTGCGATACCCTAAAGTATTCAAAAAGTATGTCTGCATACCTATATGTCCGTTGAATCTTCTAATGGTAAAGTATAACGCCTTGATTCATACCTCTTACGTTTGGCTAACTGAGTTCTAAACCAGCTTTATTTGCTTGTACAACAACTTTCGTCTACTCGTGTACTCTAAATTCCTGTACTCCATCCAGATATTGCCTCAATGTTCTTCTGTTAATTTTTGGCACATTCTACCACATTTACCTTTACACACGGGTCTCGTAGGATGTTTTTCCTTATCCCTTTCATTTTTTTGTTTTCCCTTTGGCCTTGTTCTATTCTTTTTTACCGCTGTGCGACTCAGTTCGTTAATTACTTCTGTCTCAGCACTATTAACATACAAAATAAACAGTATATTTAGTTAATTAAATAATAAGTTGGAATCTTACCACCAAACTAGCATATTGACTTTTCAGAATAGCACAGGGCGATTAATATCGTAAACCACAGTATAAATAATAAAAACCTTCCTAACCTGAGCTGACTCCTGAACTAGCTTTTTCTTGGTATTCATTTTTCTCTTCTTTACCTTAATTTTAATTTTGTCATCATTTTCTTCTCTATCGCTAGAATATGTTTGTGGTGTGGGGAAGTAATCCTTATCTTGGTCGCTGTCATCGACTGCGCTTTCTATGCGATTAAATTTCAAATCTTCAATTTCCCGTGACAAATCGTTAAAAGAGTAAAAAGCTTTCAACCTTTTTAGGTAAGTTTCTTTTTGATTTTCACTCTCATAGTTGCATACAAAAAATGAAGGTGTTTCAAAATTTACTTTTGGAAAAAGGGATATTCTAAAAAAATAAAGAATTACTAATGATGAAATTATAATGTTTTAGAAATGTTTTTAGTTACCTTCTTTAACCCCGAGCGTGCCGAAGAAACTATATTCTTCGTTCGTGTACTACATGCCAGCAACGTCTCATGGGACAGCACCCACTCGCTATGGTGGTTAGAGACCAACTTATTGAACAACGCGGTATGTCTATAGTTACAGGGTAGATGGTAGGGATTCATTGCGCTCTAGTTGGATAAATTGGGAGACGATTTCTCAAATCAAAACACAGTAACTACAAAATCCATAACAAAACCCATAACTACTTATCAGTTACATGGTTTTGATATGGGTTTTGTTAGTTACTGTGTTTTGCGGTGGGAGAAGCCTCGATTAACTGTCGGTTACTGTGTTTTGCGCATACCGCATTTTCCTTACTTATGGACCGATTTTAGTTTTAACAATACCAGACGGTAGAGCAAAACACAGCAAGTTCAAATTTATTAAAAACACGATTTTGACAAAAATGTCGGTTACTGTGTTTTGTATTAGGACAGCCGGGCTTCCAAACTGCTCACTTTCTCATTTTCCTTCAAAAATACTCGTTTTTCTCTTTTTTTGTAGGGCTCTGGCCAGCGGGCATCCTTTTGATGTACTAATCGATACATATCCCTATCCTTTGTACTTTATGATTCAGACAAAAAATGACAATCTAAAGAAGAAAAAATTATCTTCTGTTTCATTCAAATATTGCGCCAATTTTGGGACACCCTTGAGTAGTGTTTCTCCATATCTGATACATACCTTATATGTCTTCATTAATTTTTGCAAGAACTCTTCAGTGCATCTTAGCACAAGCTTTATGCGGCGGTCCAACTACAGTGAAAAAGCTAGTGTTGGATTTCGCGAAGTACCACTGGTTCCCTGTCGAGGAAGTCGCCGCAGCCATGCATTCATATCAGAACATGTTCTATGGTCACACTCCTTGCAAAAATTCGCCAATCACGAATTGTAATGGTGGAACGGGGGTCATGAGCTATCCTGGGATGTCCGTCATGCAAATGGAGACATTGGATGATTTACTGAAGAAGTTTAAGGTAATATAAATAACAGGAAGTTTAATTTTTAATGGCGTGTATTGTAATTTCAAGGCCGCTTTTCACCAACTGTATAATGCTCATACGACGTTTCGGACCCAACTGTGACCTTTTTCAAGTACAATTGACACTTCTGACAGTATATTTTGATCTGTCTACCAGTTGACACTTCGTTTTTTTTTCTTCCATTTATACAATCCTATACATATGTTACTACAATGGTCTAAACATTCCTGTAACATGATGAGATTGCGCGAAGCCAGCATTCAAATTTTAAGACGGCAAGCCAGCAAAGCCCAGGATGTCTTGGGGTAGGTATTCCCGTTCCGAAAAGGACGTCCAGCTCTCTAAAGCGACAAGCGAGCATGAGATTATCTGTAATTATTTTATTGCACCAGACATCTAAGGGAAACCATGTCGTTTGTCTTGTGAGGAAAGAATATAAGACACAACAGTTTGGCCTTAAGATGGCGAAGTAAAACGTCCTAAGGAATTTTAAATATATGTGGTTTGAATCGGGAATTATTATTTTAGGTAAAAAATGTGAACCCAGCATTTCCGTAATACATGTTGCTCAAAGTTGTCAGACTTTGTTAGATCACCTTACATTGCTCGAGAACTAATTAGGCCTCTTTACACGTACGTGTTTTTCCGTCAGTTTTGGCGCGCACGCGCCAATTCTCGGTCCAAAGTGAAGACTATAAAAACAAATGTTAAAAAACACTACTTATCGAGAATTGGTGCAATTTTCCAAAGAAAAAGTGCTATCTTCGCGCCACTTTTTTCCCCAAAACCTTTTATTTTGCATTCCCTGTTAAAATATACGTATGTTGCATCACAAGCTATCGCCTGATCTCTTAAGCCGCATACAGACCGAGATTCCAACGCAAGCCAAGGCACATGTGGTTACAGATTTGGAGGTGTTCGAATGGCGCGAGCCAACATAAATCAACGATTTCCAAGGTAGCGTTGGCGTTCGATTACGTTTGCTCCTTAATCGGTACATCCCCCCGTACTGAGCGAGGGCCGTGGCAAATGCTTGTTCCGGAAGTTGTTGTATCCAGTATACAACTTCTTCCCGTCCAAGTGATTGTACACGCGTTAAGGAATACCTCAGTACCGATTGCCGGGTGGCGGTACAAGTCCGCCAACGGGCCACTTTAGGTCTATTTAATATCACTAACACGTAAAAAGAAGGTGGTAGACAAGGACCAGTCGACCGAGGCGGTACCACCAGCTAGCTTTTCCCAGGGTGTCTTATAAATGTCCACATGTTTCCACACCTAAGCTATGCAGTCGGTTATCTTCCAAAACAAAGAAATTAATGATGATGGATCCCTCGAGCACTAAGAACTCCGGACGTAAACTCACTCCACTCTTGGAATGTCCGGGTGGAGGGTGGGCTCGAGGGAACAACATCGAAGATAAAATTTGTTTTTCGAACATCTGCGGGATTAACAGCAACATTGATGCTGTTCATCACTACCTGCAATCCAATCGTCCCGCCGTGCTTTCTTAGAGACTGCACCGATTAACCATCTCAACTTCCCAAACTACGAGGTGCACTCCAATCTGAGAAAGAACGGGGGAGTTGTGGCTTTTGTCCGCAGCAGTCTTTCCTGCTCCAGGGATCTTTCTTTGGAATCAGACCGGAAGGACATTCTGTGGCTTCGCCTCAACTCCAAAACATCACCCAAATGTATTTGCTGCCTTTATCGCTCTCCCTCGAACCATAACTGGGATGACCGACTCGAATACCTAGCCGTCCAGATCGACTTTCTGAACATCAATCACCCCGCTTCAGAAGTAATTCTTCTCGGTGATTTCAATACCCATAATGAGCTTTGGTTGGGCTCAAATAAGACCGATGCAGCAGGGCGTGCAGTCGAAGCGTTCGCTCTTACTCAAGGGCTGACCCAGCTGGTGACGAGCCCTACTTTTTTCCCCCGCGTCTCGTCACACGCCAGTAGCCTGTTGGATCTCTTTCTGACCACGCATCCTGCCCCTTACAGCACTGCTGTCCTGTCCCCCCTGGGTAACTCAGATCACGGTGTTGTGGAGGTTAGGTTTCGGTCAGAAGCCGCTGTGGCAGCAGAAACTCGCACAGGCCGCAAAACTTGGCATTACGGACATGCCGACTGGGAGGGGCTCAGAGACTTCTTCTCTAGCTTTCCTTGGAGAGATGTCTGTTTCACTGACGCGGATGCGTCGACTGTCTGTTCTTCAATAACCGAAATTATCCACGTCGGAATGGAGGAATACATCCCTCACACAGTGAAAGTTCCTAAACCAGGGTCCAACGGCTGGTTCAACAAATCGTGTGACACTGCTCGCCAGCAGAAGATCAAGGCCCACAGAACCTACTTACAAAACCCCACTGTAGAGAACAGACAAGCCGACGTCGAGTCTAGAAACAAATATAACGAAGCGGTTCGGAATGCCAAAAACCAGTATGATATAAAAGTTAGGCACAGGGTAATGTCGCAGTGCAATGGCACTCGGTCTTTCTGGACGCTGGCCAAGCAGATTGAAAAGAACTTCTCACACAGTATAGCCTTCCACCACTTACGTGTCAGGATGGAACTATTGTATTCGACTCAAAGACCAAGGCGGAAGTGCTAGCCAAGATCTTTGCTGCCAACTCCACCATGGACGTCCCCACCAACGCCCAAGTGCCGTCAATTCAAAAGGTTCCCCACACTATGCGGGAGGTAACATTCAGGCATAAGACCGTAAGACGAGTGCTCTTGTCGCTTGACATCAACAAAGCTTCTGGTCCGGACTTGATTCCTGCCATTGTACTGAAGAGATGTGCAGCGGAGCTTGCTCCAGTTCTTTCGCGTCTCTTCCAGATATCTTATGAATCCGGCACCTTCCCAGAAAACTGGAAATTTGCTCATGTACAGCCCATCCCAAAAAAAGGATCTAAGACCGACCCTTACAACTACAGGCCTATAGCTCTGCTTTCTGTTATAAGTAAAGTGATGGAGAGGTGCATAAATGACCACGCATCCTGTCCCTTACAGCACTGCTGTCCTGTCCCCCCTGGGTAACTCAGACCACGGTGTTGTGGAGGTTAGCTTTCGGTCAGAAGCCGTTGTGGCAGCTGAAACTCGTACAGGCCGCAAAACTTGGCATTACGGACATGCCGACTGGGAGGGGCTCAGAGACTTCTTCTCTAGCTTTCCTTGGAGAGATGTCTGTTTCACTGACGGGGATGTGTCGACTGTCTGTTCTTCGATAACAGAAATTATCCACGTCGGAATGGAGGAATACATCCCTCACACAGTGAAAGTTCCTAAACCAGGGTCCAACGACTGGTTTAACAAATCGTATGACACTGCTCGCCAGCAGAAGATCAGGGCACACAGAACCTACTTACAAAACCCCACTGTAGAGGACAGACAAGCTGACGTCGAGTCCAGAAACAAATATAACGAAGCGGTTCCCAATGCCAAAAACCAAGACGATATAAAATTTAGGCACAGGGTAATATCGCAGCGCAATGACAGACGGTCTTTCTGGACGCTGGCCAAGCAGATTGAAAAGAACTTATCACACAGTAGCCTTCCACCACTTACGTGTCAGGATGGAACTATTGTATTCGACTCAAAGGGCAAGGCGGAAGTGCTAGCCAAGATCTTTGCTGCCAACTCCACCATGGACGTCCCTACCAACGCCCAAGTGCCGTCAATTCAAAGGGTTCCCCACACTATGCGGGAGGTAACATTCAGGCATAAGACCGTAAGACGAGTGCTCTTGTCGCTCGACATCAACAAAGCTTCTGGTCCGGACTTGATTCCTGCCATTGTACTGAAGAGATGTGCAGCGGAGTTTGCTCCAGTTCTTTCTGGTCTCTTCCAGATATCTTATGAATCCGGCACCTTCCCAGAAAACTGGAAATTTGCTCATGTCCAGCCCATCCCAGAAAAAGGATCTAAGACCGACCCTTACAACTACAGGCCTATAGCTCTGCTTTCTGTTATAAGTAAAGTCATGGAGAGGTGCATAAATCGCGAGCTTCTGGACTACCTCGAACGTCACAGCTTGATTAGCGACAGGCAGTACGGTTTCCGGCACCAACGATCCACAGGGGACCTCCTAGCTTACGTCACGCAATTGTGGAGTAAACTCATCCAGTCTCATGGTGAGGCTCATGTCGTTGCTCTTGACATCACGAAAGCGTTCGATCAGCTGTGGCACGCTGCCCTCTTAAGCAAACTCCCATCCTATGGCCTCCCAGGAAAGCTTTGCAGATGGGTGGCTGACTTTATCTCTGGCCGCAAGATATCCGTCGTAATTGACGGATTCTCCTATTCATCCCACAACGTCAACGCGGGTGTTCCCCAGGGATCGGTCTTGGCTCCCCACAACGTCAACGTGGGTGTTCCCCAGGGATCGGTCTTGGCTCCAACACTGTTTCTCTTACATATCAACGACCTCCTTTCCTGCACGATCAACCCAATCCACAGCTTCGCTGATGACAGCACTCTACATGCAGGAATTCAGAGTGACAAGCCGATCTCTGCCGCTGAGCTGGAAAAAAGAAGACTAGCGACGACTTGTTCTCTGACAAGATACCTGGAGGCTATCACTGCTTGGGGACGCAACAATCTTGTACAGTTCAATGCTTCCAAAACACAGTACTGTACTTTGACGAACAAAAAGCGTCCTGGCGCTCATACAGTTTTGATGGACGGCCGAGTTCTACCAAAGAGCCATTCATTTCGGCTGGTCGGAGTCCAGATCACCGAGGACCTGATCTGGCACATCTCGTCAATAGCTGCAGCTGCTGGGAAAAAGCTAGGCTATTTGTTTAGGGCTAAGAAGTACTTTTCTCCGCATGACCTTCTCACTCTATACAAGGCCCAGATAAGGCCTAGCCTCGAGTATTGTTCACACATTTGGGGTGCTGCCGCCCCGAATACATTGTCCATGCTCGATGCTGTCCAGAGGAGGGCGGTCCGACTGATCGATGACTCTTCTCTAGCAGACAGTCTCGCGACTCTTTCGCACCGGCGGGCCGTCGGCGATCTAGCTTTTTTCTATCGCTACACCAACGGGCTTTGCTCCTCAGAACTCTCTTCCATGATGCCGCCGCGCGATGTGCCTGCCAGACAGACCCGCTTGACTTCGGCGTCCCATCCTAACCGTGTCAAACTTTTACATCCAGAACTGGCCGATACGACCGTTCCTTTGTCCCGAGGGTGTCTAGATTGTGGAACAATCTACAAGGAGAAGCTTTTCCCAGTTCTACTAACCTTAGGCAGTTCAAAAATCGTATTAACAAAATTTCCTTGGGATCATCATAGCAGCCGCGGTGTTCCGCCATTTAGGCTTCTGCCTGCGCGGCTGTTTCGATATAAAAAAAAAACATCAAAGGGAGGTTTGATTTTCTCTGGACATGATTTTTTGCGCTCGTAGTACAGGGTCCGGCAATGAAGTATGGTGTTTTTGAAAAAAAATACATACTTTCATTTTTAAACATACATCAAAATTTATTATTTTAATACATTAGTGGAATGATGCCATTTAAGTAACATAACATAGTCAGGTGCGAAAAATTACATCAGTTAGGTGGCGTCCATTCTTGTCGATGCATTCTTGGAGACGGATTGCAAAATCATCCATACTCCTTTCTAGCATGGCAAGAGGAATCCTTTCAATTTCGCGCGTTATGAGTTCCGAAAGAGCCTCAAGAGTTTGCGGTTTGTCGATGTAAACTTTGGATTTTAAATAGCCCCATAAAAAGTAGTCACAACATGAAAGGTCTGGTGACCGAGGTGGCCATTCCACATTTCCATGCAACGAAATAAGGCGCCCAGAAAAATGTTCCCTTAAAAAGCCCATTGCAGCTCTTGATGTATGGCAAGTCGCCCCATCTTGTTGGAACCAAACTGTATTGATGTCAATGCGTCGTCTTCTTAGTTCGGGCAGAAAATAATCACGTAACATGGCGCAATAACGATCTGAGTTCACTGACACTGTTCGTCCGTTTTCACGAAAAAAATACGGACCAATTATGCAATTTCGAGATACGGCACACCAAACAGTTACCCTCTCAGAGTGCAGATGTTGTTCATGCAGTTCTCGTGGGTTTTCGTGTGCCCAGTATCGGAAGTTTTGTTTGTTTACCATGCCCGATAAATGAAAATGGGCCTCGTCACTCATGAACAAAACGATGTTGCCGTGCAGCAATTCCAGCATCCTTTCTGCGTCGTCTCACAGTCATTTTGGAGCAGCTTCTGCACAACCATAATTTTATACGGATGGTAATGGAGGTCCAAATGCAAGATTCTGCGAACTGAACGATCTGACATTCTAAGAGCGCGAGCGTGATGTACCGCTGAACGGTGAGGGCTAGTATCCACCGCTTGTTGCACTCTTTCAATGTTTTCCGGAGTTCGCACTGTTCGATCTCTTCCCCTTGCAGTACCAGGTCTCAACGAACCGGTTGTTTGAAATTTATTCACCCACTTCAAAATGGTATCGCGTCTTGGAACGCGACCATGCCGACCAACGTTAAAATGGTTTCGAAATCGTCGCTGTGTGAGCACAACAGAACGACCAGTTTCAATAAAAGTGTTGTAAATAAACACGCGATGTGCCACAGACCACGGCTCCATGGCTACTAAAATGGCATCGCGGAACGAGTAGATATCAATCATCGTGAAAACATTGGCTCGACAGTGCTGCATGTAATAGTCGTTGCAAAAACACCATACTTCATTGCCGGACCCTGTATTTAGTCGTTTGTCTGCATTCGATGAGAGGAGACTCGTCGCTCGACATTAGCACCGAACTTAACCCAACGCGGTCCAACTCGAAACTAAATTTAGGTGTAGACGAGCGCATTCCAATAACTTCCAACAACAAACGCCAACGTCACATGTGCTTGCATTCCTTGGCTCGGCGTTGGATTTTCGGTCTGTACGCGGCTGTATCTTTTTCTTAAATATGTTGTTGAAAACCGCGCGGAGTCATCAACCAACCAGTTGGAAATAAAACGCGCCACTCCAGAACTCACAGAGTTGGAGTGCGCTCCAGAAACGTCACATTTCTTGTACAATTAGAAAGTTTCCTATAGTCGAAAATACTGCCTGTGTTACTGTGTTACTTGCATCTGATAGTATAACTAGTATCTTTGACAAATCTAAAAGAATTATTCCAATAACTTTAAATTTAAGGAAGTTATGGCATTTTCTGGCTGCTGTAGCCGATCGGCCTCGGCGTTGATGTTCGGTAGTGACGTCACGTGACTGAACGTCACGGACTGTTGTGAAGCGGTCGGACGACACGACGGCATATCGCATACATCCTTAGCGCTCAAGCTGACGACATAATTTATTGTTTGAATCTTGGCGTAGACTGTTGTATGGTAGTGTATAATAGTTAAAATGGAAGAAGGTTTTTTACGTGTCGATCCTACAAATCTTTTGAAGGTGGACATAATAATGGTAATGATAATGACAAACAATCCACTTTATGTCACTTCGGAAATACGTAAGTAAGTAAATAGTATAATTTATTCTATACAACTCTGATAACGTAAACCCATTTTTTCAAGCTATTGCCTGCGACTCTACCATACTGTAGACTTATAAAAGTGTTTTGAGTCATCACCTTTACGTAGGACGCGTGGTGTCAGTTGCGGAATATTATGGATGATCTTATTTGGCTTTATTAATTTTATAAATAGAAGACAATGAAAACATGCTTTGCATGCATCAAATGATTTAGGATGACCCAAACTGCAGCGGATACTTTTGATAAATAATAAATTCAATATCGCGCAGTGACCAGAAAATCAACTGTTTGAACTTAAACTTAATCCAACGCCAATAGGACTTGATGGCCGTCCGGTGTTGACTCACAGCAATTTAATAATTCTTTCGTAACAATTCACGATGATCATTGTTAACCAGGAGTAGAATCAATGATTCGTCATTCATTTTTGGGTATTGTTATTTGGCTGTTGTCATTATAGGTCTGGAAGAGACACCTATGGAGACGAGGCGATTGGTTATGTGCAGTTAAAAAGAGAACGGGATCTCTGTATTGTAAAAGCCAGGATTACGCCCGAACATAGAGTTAACAGCAAACCGTATCATTGCAGTTTTGAATGCGACGAAAAGAAGGAAAAAGTAATCAAGCTAGAATACAGTGGTTGTGCTACACAAGAGGGTGGCTGTAAAGCATGGTGTAGCGCTATTAATGTGGCTGCACAGAAGAATCGAAGAACCACGATGTACTTCTGTGAAGTGCTAATGGACAAAATCCAGATTATCTACTATTGGCAGTAATCTAAAATTCATAGAAGCCTCAGATGATTACACATTAAGCCCACACTTGACCGACGCCTATGCATCGCCGCGTCGGCGCAAACAAGGTTAGAACAGTGTTCCCCCTGCAGCCACAAGATGATCACTATACAAATACTCACATTATCTCGAAATGAAAGCAATAATCAAATCTATTTCTGTTCTCCTTTGAACCATTTAGATTCTTTACCTTAACATGCGAGGCATACAGACTAAGACTAATAATAATTATTATTGCTACCATTTATGTCATGGGTATTAGCTAAATATCTGCTTACATCAAAATGGGATTCACAGCCAAATAACGTTGATTTTTCCGTCAGCGACAATTTATCGTCCATATTGATTACCTTGCACCACTTCTTTCTAATACTTTCCTGTTTCGGCGCACAGAAAAAATGTTTATCTGGAGCTGATATGCTAGTATTTGTACACCTAGGTACAATAAAATATTTATAGGTTGAAGGTTTGACCCACTTTTTATTCATTGTTAATAATAGGGAGAAGCGTGTGTGGCACGGCGGGCGCATCTCCTTGCAGTATTGCTGGGCTGATAAGCTTCCGTCATGTGACGTCATCACTCACTCGCACGACCCACCACACGATTCTCCAAATAATAATCTTCCGTCTAGCGTAACTTTATTTTTCAAGATATTAAAAAAAATGTCGGCAATGTACTTCATTTTACTTAGACCAGGGCTGTCCAACTTAATGTGGCCCAAGTGCCACTTCAAAAAAAACATGCAGTTTGGAGTGCCGCATTATAAAATCTTTCTATACAACATTATTACAGAGTTAATGTAAGAATTGTGCATATTCGGTATTTGAGAGTAATTTATACATGTGATGTATACATGACCCGTGAAGAGGGCCGCAAGAAAGGAGTTCGCAGGCCGCATGCGGCCCCCGGGCCGTATGTTGGATAGCCCTGACTTAGACTATCATTTTGAGTGTCTTTTGAAAAATAGGAAACTTCCTCGTTGTACCAAGCGCGTGCACTAGAAGCACGCACGCCACTCTAATCGTGCCAGGCGACGCGCCAAAAGCGACAGATTGGAACGTAATTGTAAAGCGGCCTATTGAGATGTTGAGATGAGTTTTGGTACACGCAAATATGGTTCTTGATGTTTAGGCAAACTGTTGGAGATTTTTTTCAGAAATTCTCAACTTTACGGAAACTATTTTTCTCGACGTAGTCGAGTGCATATATCAAGCATCTGCTGTTAGTTTGTCGCTCGACGGAGGGCCCCAAAAGGTCAATTTTCCAACTTCAAGTGAGGCTTCATGACACTTCAGGCAAAGAGTAGTTATACCAAGAGAAGGCAGACACGATGAATAAATTACAAGGATATAAAAGATGTAACCTAAAATAAGGCGACCAGTAAACAGCTGTTGGCGCGTAAACACTATACAAGTCCCAGATAAGGCCTAGCCTCGAATATTGCTCACACGTTCGGGGTGCTGACGCCTAGACTACATTATTTATGCTCGATGCTGTCCGACTGAACGATGACTCTTCTCTAACAGATAGTCTCGGGACCCTTTCGCACCGGCGCGCCGTCGGAAATCTAGCTCTCTTCTATTGCTACACCAACAAGCTTTGCTCCTCAGAGCTCTTCTCCATGATGCCGCCGCGCGATGTGCCTGCCTAACTTTGGCCTCCCATCCTAACCGTGTCGAAGTTCGTACATGTAGAACAGGCCGGTACGACGGCTCCTTTGTCTCGAGGGTATCGAGATTGTGGAACAATCTACAAGAGGAAGCTTTTCCCAGTTCTACTAACCTTAGGCAGTTCAAAAGTCGGATTAACAAAATTTCTGTGTGATCCTTTTACCAGCCGCGGTGTCCTGGCGTTTAGGCTTCTGCCTGCGTGGCTGCTTCTGTTTAAAAAAAACACTTGTAGTGAAGGCATTTTTGTTTGCACATTTATTCACGGTGGGGATACTTATCATCCGTTTGCAGCCTACGAAACATATTGTTTATTTAATAAAGATATAAATCGCAGTTTTCGCGAGTGCTCTCTACGTCATGTAACAGACGGTATTCTCAAAGCATGTAGGTTATCATCTAGCTATTTAGCTTTTAGGAACCTACGCGGAATATTATACGATTTCGTTTAGGAACGTCATCTTGAAATTCACATTTTTCTAACCACAAACTGCTCATTTAATCAGTGGTTCTCGGTAGCGGGGATCCTTAGCAGAATATCGGGCCACATATAAGCGAATCGATGTTTTCTTTTTGGAAACTAGTAATAGTACAAGAGTCGACCGAAAATTGTTGGTAACATGGTGATATGATACGATAAAAACTAGTCAAATATCACGTATTTTGATGCTAAACAGCAAACTTGTCGATGAAATCTAAGTTCAAAGACATTGCATGAAATGTCTACTCTTTGCTTTAAGATTTTTTGATACCATATTCGATATCAGCATCCCAAAGTACTCTGATGTACAGAGTTTCGTTCCTTTTTGCATGATGTAACTTAAAGATTATTTAAAAAAATAACAAATCCTTGAGTATCTCTAAACTAGACGAAAACTCGTTTCCTGGGTAAATCGTATGCGCAGATTACGAACATGTTTTTTTTTTAGATGAATTTTATCAATTTCCAGATGAGCACGTGACAGCAAGGTCTTGCTGTCAATAGTTTTGGTAATGAATTAACAATATTATTAACTTTGCTTATTTATGATTAGATAGATAGATGCTTTATCGTCTTCGGATCGTAGGTATGATATAAGACTCGTCAGATGAGTACATTATTATCTACAAAATTTAAAAATATATTTAAGTATAAATACGTAAATTTGTCGAAAAAGCAGCGGTTAAAATGGAAAGAAACAGTTAGTCGAAAAAGGACAAAGGACGCATGTGCGCACGAATGAAAACATACACTAAACAGGCAGATACAATAATAAACGGAACAAGGTGTAAATGAAGTAAGTACAATAACAACAGAAAAAATAAAAGGTACGCATGTATATATATATATATATATATATATATTTATATGTATCAGAACGCTAAAAAAATGTATATACAGCCATAGTTTCCTATTTAATTTTAGGTGCATCACTCTTACCCTGAAAGAAACTCAGCTATTGAGTAGTAGCGTCTTTCTATTAACAGATTCCTCAGCTCTTTCTTGAACCTACTTGGGCATCTAATATCTTTTAGTATTGTTAGCAACTTATTGAATACCTTGGTGCAGGCGTAGGCTGGTGATTTTTCGAACATTGACAGTGTATACGAAGGTATACTCAAGTCCTGTTTTGCTCTAGTGTTTTAGTTCGTGTTTAAGTCCTTGTTCTGCAGAAACTGAACCCTGTGATTGAAGTTGTAGAGGGCGCATTTATAAATATATAAACTCGGAAGCGTTAGCAAGTTATTATGCTGAAATATTGCTTTACATGATTTTCTCCTTTTAATGTTAAATATCAGCCTTACTATACGTTTCTGCAAAATAAACTCTCTGGGCGCGGTGCATGAGTGTCCCCAGACGATGGTGTGATTTGACAGATGCGAATACACCATTGCATAGTACACATCTATCAGCGTTGATTTGGGGGCATTTGGCTTTAATTTCAATATCGCATAGTAGGACCTATCCATTTTCCTGCATACACTGTCAACTTGTTGCTTCCAATTTAATCCTGCTTCCAACTCAATACCCAGGAAGGTCGTAGAGTCTGAGATAGTACTGTTAATGAGGCGTGGAGTACTAGAGTAAAAGTGAACAACTACCGTCTTGTCAGTATTCAAGATCAGGCGATTTCTTTGGCACCACTCTTCCATCTCGGATTTTATGACTCCAGTGTTAAGGTACATATCTTCAGGCGTATCTGCAGTTATTACGGTCGATGTGTCATCAGCATAGTTCACCACTGCACCTGAGAGATTCAGATCGTTTATAAACAGGATGAAAAGAAGTGGTGTCATTACAGCTCTCTGAGCTGCACCTACGAGCCCCTTCCCACTTCAGTTGGCCCACTTCAAGATTTGTAAAAAAATATTTACTTCTAAAATAATTTATTTTCTCAAAAACATTTTAGATACACTATAGTCGTAAAAAATATATATTTGAAATCACTTAGACCTATAACTAATAGAACATCTGAACAAATAAACAATGTGCGAATAAATTCGAGAAGTTAACCAAGCAACATTTGAAAGATTGCCATTGGGTAACATCACCATTAGTTTTATTACGGCTGAAATTCTTTGGGGCATAGTGTTACCCAAGTTTTGGCAAAAATTTGGTGCAAAACAATCCCATATTTCTTGAAGCTTTTGTCTCAGTTCGGTGATTGTACGAGCAGGATGTTGTCGTAAAATCTTTTTTATCTCGTGCCACAAAGTTTCAATAGGTGACAGATCTGGACTGCTAGAAACCCATTTCAAAAGTGGTACATTATTTTCTTCCATCCATTTTATAGCCTTTTTGAGGTATGGTACGCTGCAGCATCTTGCTGAAACACAAAATCTTGGCCGGATGTAAAACATTCTCCCATCACTGGTAAAAGCGATTCTTCTGAAATTGCCAAATATTTGTTTGTATCCACATTTCCATCAATAAAATGAAGTTTTCCTACTCCTTTTGATGACATACTGCCCAGACCATAATGGACGCTGGAAATTTCACTTTTCTCTTGAGACAGTCAACATGGAATGCTTCATTTTTTTGCGAATAACTCTACTGCGACTGTCACCAACACAAACTTCGAATCGGGCCTCATCACTCCATTGTATTGCACACTATTGTTGAGGTGTCCATTGTCTATGTTCTTTAGCCCATCTAAGCCGATTTTTCTTTTGCAGTGGAGTTAATAGTGGCTTTTCTTTGGCCTATAAACAAGTTGTGCAACTTTAGGGTTTTTACTTCACTTTTTTTATAAGGAAACTTACGTTGCAAGTGCTAAATCCCAGTTTATGGGCCTCTCTATGTGTTTTGGACCTCGAAATTCTCCTTCCAACAGCGTCAGTCCACAGAGCACTTAATTGTAAATAATCGGCACGCCTGTTTTTCACGATTATTCTTCTTACTGCTCTTCGGTCGGCATTT